AAGTCCGCGAGAAGCAGCGAAAGTCAGCAAAACAACAGCGAGTCACATAGAGCAACATATACAGTACTACATGTATATGTGTTACTGTATTTTGTTATTCATAAACTAACCTAACTTATGCATCCTCTTGTTTCCAGTTTTATGTTGAAAGGGAATAAATTTCATCTGTGCTGTATGTTACACATATAGCACATTTGACAATAAAGTTGTATCCAATCCAATCCAATCTTTAAATCTATTAGTATTCAGCATTAAGCCATGTTACTTAAAAAAATACTTCTACATGCATGTATACTAGGGTGGTCCATTTTGGAAAAGTTTGTCGGATTCGTCGGGCCGGGTCGGAAATCTTGTCGATACTATGACACAAGGATGTGTGCAAAATTTTATTCCGATCGGATAATTTTATCCCGTCCCGCAGAGCGACCAAAGTTTCCCCTATGGAAAGAATGTTACGGGGCTGAATGGTAGTACGGTTTCTCCCGTACAGTAAGGATTTTGTTTTGCTCAGTTCGCACTTGCAATAATTCAAAGACGGAAGACAGGAACGCATGTATTGCAAAAAAGGCAACCGTGGTGATCCTGCAACACTGGTGAGATTGTTGGTCCATGTTAACTGGTCCATCTATCTATCTGTCCATCTGTCTATAATGGCCATCAACACTAGTGACACTGTTAGACCGCAAAAAAAAACGAAATCCGCCGTGCGTGCCATCCCATGCCTACTTCGCGCACGGGTGCAACGCCCGGTGTCGCTCCACGACCTGCAGAAGGTGCTGTCGCTGTTCCTCGTCGCGCGTAAAGGCGCCGCAGAACGCGCTGATGAGGGCGACATCATCAGATCGGAATGAAATTTTGCACAGAACCTTGTACCATAGTATCGACAAGAATTCCGACCCGCCCGACGAATCCGACAAACTTTTTTTTTTGCCATGAAAATGTGGACCACCCTAATGTATACCATTAAATTTGGCCTTCTAAATATTATGTACATGTACCTATATGGAGGGGGGGTGTCGCTATTTCGCGGATTTTCGTTTATCGCGGGTGGCTTTGGTCCCCATTAACCGCGATAAACGAGGGATTACTGTATATATTTATTCACCAAATTCCTAGTGCGCAATGTGAAAAACCAGTAGGTTGAGGGTTTTTTTTTTCCAAGTTCCAAGTGATCCTGAACAATAGAAATCAAAGGTTTCTTTAATAGGGGTAACGGTTCAGGTGATTTACATCAGGCAAGTTCCCACTGAAGGCTCAGATAACCAATGTATGAGCCCAGGATCAGTTCAAACTCAAATCAGTGAGACAATACAGTAGTCTACAATGAGGATGAAAAGCAAAACTTGCAACAATACTGTACGAAACAGGTTTTTATTGACAATTAAATAGATGATTTTCACCTCCACCTCATACATAGAGCCATCTTTTGAACATATACTACAGTAGGGGATCGATTGGTAAGATAGCACTCTCATATTTATCCCACCACAACGGTGTCATCATCTGGGAACTCATAGTAGGGCACCTCCAGGTTAAGAGGCGCCGGCCCCTTTCTAATTCTTCCTGAAGCATCGTAGTGGGATCCGTGGCAAGGACAGTAGTAGCCGCCGAAGTCACCCGCGTTAGCAATAGGCACACATCCCAGGTGGGTGCACACACCAAGGACGATAACCCAGCTGGGGTTGAGCACTCTATCCTTGTCGTGTTGGGGATCGCGGAGCTCGGCAAGATTCACAGCCTCCTCTGCGGCGATTTCCTTTTCGGTGCGATGACGGACAAACAGGGGTTTCCCTCGCCACTTGAATGTCATGTTTTTGCCCTCTGGAATCTCATTCAGCTTGATCTCAATCTTGGACAAGGCCAAGACGTCAGCTGAGGCACTCATGGAGGAGACAAACTGGCTAACCACCGTTTTGGCTGCGTAGACACCAACTACGGTGGTGGCCCCTGTGAACAGGTAGGAGAAGGCCCTCCTCGCATCGCTGCTGTCCTGAGAGGACTTGTTTGGGTCGGTGACCTCAGGGCGGCGGTAATCTGTGAAGTCGGGGATTTTGATGTCTGTATGGGCGAGCCGGATTCCTCCAGGAGCTAAAATCAGACCATTAAATAAATGGTCATGCATGCTCAAATAGTAAACAATTATTGAAAAGCAGATTGAATATGGTGCAGAATCTTTCATCCAATGAAAGGAAGCTTGAATTTTTTTCACATCGTGCAACAAATTATTCCCATTAAAAGTATCAGTATAAGTGAGTATTAAAATATGAAATTCACAAGGATGATTGTCAGAGATGCAACAGTTCATGGTTTACTGATATATTTCAGATCAAGAGTGCCATTTCAATGTTTGATTATCATTCTATATTTTGTCACTTTGACCAATAAAACACAACCTTAAATGTACATTGCCATCCAAGAGGCGAACACTTACAATATCTTTAAAAAAGTTATGACAGTTAATTAGATAGGAACACATTGAGCCTCCTTATTTTGCCGTATGAAAAATGTATCCTTTATTCGATAAAAATGCCAGTAAATATTGCAGTAATATTGAAATTACGACATTAAACGCACATATTGCAACATTGCAGTATCGTACAGCCCTACTCTATAAAGAGGCTGAAGGCTGTTCAGATGACCAACTACGATACATATAGAGCCTAAAGGTGTCTTTCATAGATGGATTTACTTACTTCACTAGTTAGCATGGATAAGTGATACACTGTAGAAAGCACACTCAATTACCACCATGCTACATGTATTTTTAATTCTATTATATTTAATGTATGCCTCAATAATTCTTTTTCATACAATTTATCATTCGGGTTTTCTACTGCATTAGTGCAGACCCCTGTCTTTGTAGAAAATAAATACACACACACACACACACACAACTCCATTATGACCTTTAGTCCATTTGGATCAAACATCCCAGTCATTTACTATTTCTGACTATTGTGTCAATACAGCTCGCGTATCTAGGTTGTGCTTTGTACTTTTGTCATCTAGAACAATTGTCTACCACTGAAATACCTGGATAAGGTCCCACCCACCCTTTGTTTTTGAGCTCGTCCTTGAGTGTGTGCTGCTTGGGCTTTCCAGTTCGAAAATCTACATTAAATCAAGCAAGCTCAAACATTATTTGGACATGTCTGCAGTACGGGCAACAACGTGTAAAATGTGTCCTACGACGAATGATCTATGAAAATGGTTTTGAACCAAGTACTATACGACACACTAGCAAGTTACCACTAGAATTATTACAAGTCAACTTTGTGATTAGAATTTTTGCAGATAAGCGGACGTTGACATTCGACTGTATTGTTAGCCGAAGGCCCCATGGACGTGTCTTACCAGTGGCAGGGAGCAACTCCTTAGCTCCAGATAACACCGCACATTTGATGAATTGCGTTGTTCCCCGCAACAATGGGACAAGAGCCCCAAAACGACCAGCAAATGTCATCATTGTCGCTCGATAAACGAATTCCTCACCCCGTATTTGGGGACACGACCTTGCGTGAAGAAATCTTATGTGTGCCTCTGAATACCGACACGCCGGAAACTCTTTCCTTCTTCTGCAAATGGAACGTTCCGCCTCGAA